GCCAGTAAATTTAATAAAAACTGAATAGTAGAAATTTCACACACTTAAAAGTCGTTCTCAAAAACTGGAAAGTTTAAACGAAGGCAGCTGTGAGTGTCGATAACAGCGCATGCGCATTCACTACGTAACTGTAATATTCCCACACTCCGCAAAGAAACAAGAAAAAAATCGCGTAACTCCGAATAGAGCAAATTCCCAAAACTGAATGTAATCAAAACCTGAGTATCGACGTATAAGACGCACCCCGTTTCTCAAACCTATTTTCAAAGAAAAAACGTGCGTCTTAACGCTGGCAAATACAGTTCTTTAAAAACATGCCTCGTAAATGAAGATTTCTCGTATTTAACGGTAAATGCTTTAATGTTTTTCTTTCTTTTCCTTTTTAATTTTAAAAAAACATTTCTATACGTTTTTTTTTTATGTCTCTAAGATAGATACACATCTATGATAATAAATTAATGGAGTTGCATATTTTCTTGAAACTCTTGTTGCGAACGAGAAAGAGTGCACGCAATAAGCTCGTTATGCCAAAATGTTTTTCCCTACCATAGCCTAAATGACGGAAACAACGAAAGCAAAAGTTTCTTTATTGACATCCTTTGCAACCGGCAAGATTCATTATGGCAGAACAGTACTTTTCCTTAAAGTGAGGAAGCAATTCTGACATCTACTGCCTTGAGCATTAATTTTGCTTTCAGCTAGCATTCTTCTATTTTGAATTTACTATCAAATGCTTTTGCCATTTATCAACAAAGGACATTGCCTTTGGTTTTCGATACTTCTGTTTTTATGATTCCTTTTTTCATTCGTGTATATATAATAATTCATTCACGTGTATGTAATAATATATTTATATAATAGTAAAAATTTACTCTTAACTAACACAGAATACATTTGAAAAATGTTAACAGCGTTTTAATCGTGCATTTTTGCTCCTCGCTTGGGTAACCCTCCCTTAATTTGCATGTATTTATGTAGATAAGCTTCTCAAGCTCAGATTATGTAAAGCATTTCAAACTTCGCTTTTTAATCAGATTTTAAGCAAAACCATTGAGTAAAATGCTTTTGCTTTTTCTTTTCCTTCAGATTATCTTTTACTTTTTCCTTCTAGTACAGAATTCTAGATGCAGACAGAATTTAAGATTCCAGACAGACAGAATTTTGTAACAATATAGTCATCGATCATTTTCTAATAGTGATTTTATAGATGAAAAGTCACGATGCACATCAAATCTTTATTTATTCCTTTATTGAATTCGAAAGAACTTTAAAAACGGGGTTAAACTTCTGTTGTATTATCTTAAACTAAAAATTCCATGTTAACTCTGAGAAAAAGCTGACAATAAAATTAACTCCCGGAAACTTTTACATAATTTGTTGCTCAATTCACTAGCATTTTACATAGTATACTCATTGCTTATTTTTTAATACTGGTGCAATATTAATATTTAAATTTTGTACGATTCCTTTAGAAATTTGACCATAGAGACACCCTTTCCATTAAACAGATAGCTTTCGCTCTTTGTGTAAATCAGTTAACCATTATATGACAATTCCGTTCTTCTAATACAAATCAAAACAAAAGTAAGCAAATCATAGTGCAAACCAGAGTCTGAATAAAATTCAATTGTAATCAGCGCTTCTTTTGTTCTTTTAATAGTAAAGGCATTTGGAACATCGCTGTCTAAGAAATTTTAATTAGTTTGACAAAACTCATTGTAATTAACAAAGGATATTCAGAGTATTTTCGAAATAGGAAACTTTTACGGGATGTTAAATACCGCGGTTATAACCTTAAAAAATAGGTCAGATGAGACTGAAAAAAATGCCATTTGCTGGCAAATATTGAGACTGCCTCTTCAATGACTATGATCAGAATACTCTAAATTAGATTAAAGGATACGGAATAGCACCAACTGCGAGTAAAATGTAAGTTGGTCGCGATTCGACGTAGCCAGACGTGAATGACAGTGGTATGGCTATCAGATCGGATAATAAAACATACTGAGATATTGTTCTCTAAGACGAGGCAGTATTCAAAGTTGCGATGTTATTAAATTTCTTTTCATGCGTGGTATTATATTCGCAGATACAGTGACCTTCAGTCTCGAAAAGGCAGTGTGTCAGTGACATTGATCATGTATGTGTGGTAGTCTGTGATTGCTTCATGAACAGAAACAACGAGCAAACTCGAAATTTTGCATCAAACGAGGCTAAACGGTCACAGAGAACGTTGAACACGCATCAGAAAGGTTACTACGATGAAGAAGTGAGGATACGTAATGCTTTGAGTTGAACAGGAGCTTCATAGGCGGGAGAAGATTTTCTTGAAGACAGGTGACGGAGAACTGGGGCACCTGGCGTCTACCAGAGGTAAGCAGGTGTATGCCCCTCGCCCACCACTATCCAGTGCTTATCGAAGAAATAAAGGAGTTGGGTGAAAAACATGGCCTTACAGGGGCTATGTGGCTGTACAATGGCTACAGATTTGGGAACAGAGGGTCCAAGAAACGTATTGCAATGCATGTAAATATAGCAGAGAACATAAAGCATAAAAGTAATACAATAAATAAACAGTGCAATATAAAGTACATAAGTAAAAAGTACGTAAAAAAAATTAATTAGTGAAATGGGAAAGAGACAGCTGAGCAAGAGAAAGTCTTATATGACTCGACAGATGTCCTGTCTCAAGGCTGCAATCATGATAATAGTCTGACATATATTATGCTGTCACACGATTTTATGTGATAAAGCATCTGTGAGTGCCCACATCGCTGAAGCACTGACGTTGGTTAGTGGCATTGGTGAGAGGGTATTGATAGACGTACTGGTCTGCGGAATGCTCTTTGTGAACATTATCCCCGAAAATATAAAACCAGTTCAGAAATGTTAGCATTGAAGGAGGACAAGCGGCATTCTAAACATTGTTTATGTGTCGTATGAGTCAATGGAGATAATTTGGTCAATTGAATTAATCATGCAACCTGCCGCTGGCAAGTTTTGTCCCTTGACTGCTGACCCCTGAGCAGAAGGAGCATCGCGTGCACTATACGAAGATCTCTGTCAACGTGTTGAGGGAAATGCTCAACTGAATCGTCACTGGTGACGCGAGACCCAGCTCGAATCGCAGATGATTATGGAGCTTATGCAAAATGGCTTCGAAGTTGCATTCCAGCGGTTGCAGGAACACTGGAACCAATGTATTGTTTGCTGCACGAAGTGACTATTTCAAAAGAAGATTATTTTCAAACTTAAGTAAGTAATGTATTTTTTTATCAACTAAGCTAGGACAGTAACTTTGTAATATACCTTTGTGTATTTCTTAAATATAGCAGTTACATGACTTACAGAGGCAGCGAATAAAATTATAATTTATTTGTTTATGCAACTGGTAGCTAAACTATGATAAAAATTCAAAGTCATAACCTATTCGTTGTTTCGTCGCGTTTGAAGCAATTCTTCATGATTCAGCATTTTGCCAGTGAAATAGTTTATGTAAAAAATTCTCAGTTTGCAATATATGACAGAAGTAAAAATTATCTTTCATTAAAAGTGTTTTACTGGTTGAATGCAATTCGCTTTAATTCAAAGATGATCGATCTAAAACAGAGTTTTAAGATTTAATATATTTTGGGGGGTTAACCGTATATATCAAATGTGAAAAATATTTAGCTTAAAGCTAGCACCTGCTCTTTAGTGTGCTTGTTGCTATCTTTAAACGATATTTTCTCAGATGAGCAATACATACTTTTGCCATGAAACGACATTAAACTTCCGTAAATATTTAGGCTAAATTTTATTTATTATCCTTTTATACATCATTATTATTATACAGTGAAACCTCGGATCTGGAATGCCTCTCGCTACGAACTAATTACAGGAACAAAAAATTCTCGGATAACGAAAGCTATCTCGAGTTACGTATACTCAGAATAGCAACAAATGATTTTTCAAAGCTGTTTTGAGATAATTTTTGATAGACAATTAACGCTCAGGGACTTCCGGAAACATTACTTTAATATGTTTTTCTGTTGCTTAACTTTCATTTACAAAGGCTAATAACAAATGACTTCCAAGACGAGGAATTCGGCCTGGAGTAAATTATGGGCCAGATTGTGTGTTATACACAGACTTTAAGGACATTTTTGAATGTTATTATGTTATAGGAAAACCCATGTGCTTAGAAGTTAGCAATGAAAACTGGAAGACGTTATTAAAGTACCTGAAAAATGAGCTCAACAAGAAAGAACCGGAAAAACTTCAGAAATACCCCCCCCCAAAAAAAAAATGGCGATAGGGGAAGAAACGCGAAAAATTACCAGTGCACTACCCGGGGTTCGAAGTCAGCAGCTTTCGATTATTAGCCAGATGTACTTGGCAATAAAAGACAATGAAAATATAAAAGAAAATGCTCGGTGGGACACTTACTTCATGTTTAAAGGAATGAGAGGAGGGTTCTGTTCCAACCATTAGCATTTCTTCCCTTTCTTTATCCTCATCATTTTCCACTTATGTTGTCTATCTCTTTCATATAAGTACATTAAAATTAAATTCAGGTTTTGTTTATTTTATTTGTTTAACATGAGGTTAATCTTTTTATGTCATAGATTTAATAATTTTCGTTGGTTTTCTGTTACGAGATTCTGCACAAAGTGCTCTTGTAAAATTTACATAAGCAATTAAATATGGCAAAATTTACATATGCAGATCAATCTAATTTTCATTAGTTCTTATAATAAAAATAGTTTTGGGTTATGAACATTTTTGATGATGAACGGTTGTCAGGAACGAATTAATTTTTTTAATTTATGTTCTACTTTATTGCATGATCTTAAAATTGGAAAGCTCAAAGATTTTTTATTAAATATGTTACATTTATAGTATGTGGTATAAATAAGTTGTAATAAATTACAACTTATTTAAAGGAGGTGAGGTCCTGTATTATTTTGGGACTCTTTATGACCTATAAAATGTTAATTACTTAAAAAATGTAAGCAAACCTTGTGCACTGCTAATCCTGCTGCTGCTGCAGAGGCTAATACCACTCCTCCTAATGTAGAAGTTCTCGACACGCCATCCATATAAGCTAGGAGTGCAATGCCTGTGTCGCATAAAATAACCGCTACAATCTGAAATGAATAAATAATCAATTATATCAAGCAGGAAATTTCGCTTTTTACGAAGAACGAAATAATATTTGGATTTACATGGATTTACACTCAAGGACAATGAAATTAGCGCACAAAGAAGAAAGCATTTTACTGCTGCGAAACTATGTAAATGTTAAGGGTATAAGTATGTGATATGCCAACGATCTAATCTTTCCTCCATTGTGCATGAATGTGCACTCTCACATAACAGAGTCGCAGCTTTGTATATTGGTATGTAGTCGACCCACATAAACTTGAAAAAGCACCGGCCGACGCAAGAAAAGGTAAAGAGTAATAAGAATATCGAGTAAATGACAAGAACATTTATTTAAGTATCTTAAAGACTTCGTGGAAAGCTTTATTATCTTTTTGAAAAACTGCCAGATGGTCCGCGAGTTGTATTAATAGAACGCCATGTGAATCATTCTGACAGTGACGCTCGATGGTGTTTGACAGTACCACTCGATGGCTACCAGAGTCGGCGTCTCTCTCTATGCTGCATTGTCAAGGGAAGCCAAATGGTCGCCGTGCTGATAGTCCACGCTGCTGCAAACATCGACGCACCCTACGAGCGGATACTGGGCATATTGCACACATGTCCATTTCCTGACTAATGGTTCGTGATGTGGTTGTACGGTTTTTCAAGGCTGACCTCACAATATGTCTCTCCTCTCGGACGTTAGTTATGGGAGATCCTGCATGCCGCTCAGTATGACCCTCAGCAACCCACTGATTCCATATTGCATGACAGTGGTTGGATGTCACTAGTGTAACGGGCGATATCACGAAATGATAATCCACACTCTAAATAGACAACGATCCTGCCTCTAACGAATTCCGACACTTGCTGGTAAGCATTTCTTATTATTATTCGAGGCGTAACACGATATTCTGAGCAAACTTTGACCTTACAAAGCGCTTTCCGAATGAAAGATCCACTACACAACTTTTTTTTTATGCAGTGCTTCAGACTGGGTTTCTCCATCCTGCGTCGTCTAAATGCGCTGAATTACTATTCCATTTGCATATCTCAACCTCTTTTTCCTTCATGTGATTTTGACGTTCGTCAGCTCATTCCTTCCTGGTGTTACAATTTTAATGGCCGGCAGTGTAAAATATTTTGGTAGTTACCACAAAATTGTAAGTTATTTTAGCCATGTTACATTTAAATTAATAACAGGCGTAAGCTCCACCCCCAAGAACAGAAAAAAAGAGGGATTGATTTGTTATTTCTGTCGGTTTTCACACAATTTAGATTTAGAGGGACACATTTTGTGTCTCCCCTTTTGTGAAATTTTTTTTGAGTGTTTTTCTACTCTTACTTTTGAGCACTAATTGGGAAACATTAGGAAAGCTCTTCTGTGTCATACTTTTATTATAAACTTTGTCCCAAACGTCAATATAGCGTTCGTTTGTTTCTCACAGATGATCATCAGGTAATTTCTATCGAAAATTTAAAAACTATTCTTGTACTTCTGGAAGTACTTTCTCGCAGCCCAGGTTAAGAACCAATGCATTAGAAGATAGTACTCGTCATTAAAGCAAACAGAAAAATCTCATCGAAACGTTGCATAATTTTAGAGTATCACTGATGCTGTATATTTGTTTCCGCTTAATTTACCAGATGAAAATTACATTTGTAATTACTCATCTGCCTTTAAGTATTAGCTTCGCAAATATGCCTAGCTATTAGTAAATTTTACATTTTAATTAAATATGTTCGAGGCTTTATCTTCAGGCAATATAGAATTAAATAAATAAGGGCATTTTCATTTAAACTTTAATCAAAAATTATATCTGGAAGAAATTAGGGTATTTCTATCACAAATATTTCGAAAGGTACTTACTCTTATACCAACGAACTGCTCATGGAGTATTACCCAAGATAACAAATAAACGAAAGAAGCGCTAGATGCCTGAAGAGCCATAACTGCGGTTGCATCCAATTTTCCAAGAGCATAAATAAGCATATAATTTGTTGCAACCCAAAGAACGCAAAAGAACATGGAACGGGTAAAGAAATGGAGTACGGTAAGTCCCTTTTGGCTGAATCTTCCAAACTCCTCTCTGTATAAAATAAAATGCATAAATTATAATTGCTAGACAAATAACAAGATTCATAATAAAACAACAATACATTTCAATGAAAACTGCGATTTTTTAAAATCTGCCTTAATAAAACTTCGAAATGACGAGAATATAGGTAAGCAAAATACGTAATAATCATAAGTTGTACTAAATAAAATAAAAATAAATGAAATAAAAATTTCTGCCTACCGCCCAGACAGTATGGTAGTTAAAGGAGCCTACTGTGGTACCAAACGGCCTGTGTTCGAGTCCCGGAAAAAGCATGGGTGATTGTAAATGATAAGCTAGAAGTGCAATGAAATATTAGTGCTTGTGCGACACGCGGGCACTCTAAATATGCTGTAAGCTGAAAATCCTCTAGAGAGGTTGGGGGTAGGGGGAGAGTGGTGGGAGACTAGGACCCTTCCGCCCATTCGAAGTGCTCTCCTTCAAAAACTGAGGGGTGGAAACGAGTGAAGTCGTACTATCACCAGCATGGTACTCGAGGCTCATGACAGGAGCAATCTAGCTCCTTTTGCCAGATGAATTTCGTGACTTTTTTCTGATGTCACTATCAGGCAAGTGAGATAAGTCACAATAACACGACAGAAAAGAAATTTCTGTCTGAAACGTACTGATTAAGGACAGTCAAGTCACAATCTAGAAATATTGCAAAATGTAGTTTACTACAAGAAATAAAACGTAAGGACATAAATAAAGAATAGGAAAGAATTGTAAAAGAAAGTGAGTGCACATAAATTGATCTTTAGGTGCTCTTATAATTTTTTAACGTAGACATTTAAGTATGCTAGTTTTTCCCTGTTATAGGAAAGATAAGATGCTGAGTTTTATGCGTTTTAAAAATAAAATATGTGAAATTGGCTGTCCTTTGATAAAAGTATACTTTGATGGAGCCATACCGGATAATGCATTCCGATATGATCGAATTAAATCATACCGGAAATTAAAACTGAGATCAATGTCGAAAATCTGTGTCAAATTTATGTGTTAAACTAATTAAAGAAGAGAATATTTTCGTTTATGCTACTTTTGCCCTTTCTCAAAGAAAGTATTTATGATTTAGACCAGACTTTAACTGACAAATTACTCAGTATAATCATTGAAAAAAAAATACAAGCTTCCTAATTTAGAAAAGTTGTTGGTATTTAGATTTTGAATTCTCTGTGGTATGTTTAAGAGCAGAAGCAAGTCATTTTTAACTATGAGTAATAAAAAAATCCGAAAGGCAAATCTTTATGCAATAGATCAATTAAATAGAGCAAAGCCACTTCATATAACTCTACACTTCTGGTAATCCACGGCTAGGTTTTTTTCATAAAAAAATGAATGGTAATGGTTATTTTTTGCCCATATTATTTTTGATAATATTAATTTTGAATATCCCTTGCATAAAATATACTGAAAAGTTTTGTTTTAATTTAAATTACAGGAATGAAGCGTATTATCATAAAATCATAAAAATCTGTAATTACAAAAGAAGGTCAAATGCTTATTTTACTGTAATTATTATTTAAAGCAATTAAACTAGTCTGTCATGGACAAAGCTAAAATTACAAGATAAAATTTAATAGTACACTTATTTGAATGAATGAGTATTTCCAGAGGCATGTAACTTATCAAACACGTGAAACACGTATTGCAGATTTTCTATAAACTTAATTCAAATTTTTGATGATTTCAGTGACAGTAAGTACTCTGTTTACTTTTCGGGGAATCGTTTTCATTAAAATTCAAACTTTAAATAATCTAATACATTAACAAATATTAATAACTGAAAAATAAATCATGTTCTGTAGAGACGTTTACATTATTTTTTGATATAATATACTCAGACGATTTGTTTCCGTTGCACGCCGTGTGCGGTATCTAAAACATTTCTCAAAGATAAATGGGATAAAAGCCACACCATAGCTGAAATTTTACTTTCTGATTGTATTAATGAAATTTAAATTATGTCCACAAAATTGATACTGTTTTTTCTTAAACAATACAATATCTCGAAGAATTCAAGATATGCATGACGATGCTGATTCAGTTACTAGAGTAAATAAAATTAAATATTTTCTATCCAAATCGACGTAAAGAGGCATCCTGCTTGCCTACTTTGCTAGTCAGCACGAGGCAATTGACAAAAAATTGAAACTGAAGAAAACCTGTTGTTTTGCTATATATGAACAGAATACAAAACAAAAATACTGCTAAAGTAATAAATATTATTTCACTGAAAAAGATATTAATTGGTCCAAGTTGTTGCAATGTATGCACTGACGCGGTAAAGAATATATCTGATTGTTTTACAGGCCTAAGGATCTGATGTAAAGAAGTGAATGCCTCGAAAGCACTAATGCATTCATGAACATTTTTGCATCCAAGTCTTTTTCTAATATATTGAAAGGTTAGTTCAGTTCTTAGTTGTGACTTAATGGAAATAAATTCCATTAAGCCACAACAACAAAACTCCTGATTGTTTCAAGTAAAGTGTAAAGAAATGAACAGCTTTGACAGCATGTTAATTCCATGTATGGGATAAGGTAACTGTCTCATGATAAAGTATTTAAATGCCTGTTTGAACTTAAACATAAAGTCGAGGTTCTTTTTCAAGACCATCCTTTCCGTCTTGATTCAGAATTTCATTACACTGATTGGTTTCAAAGTCCTGTAAAATTATGAGCTATTATTCGATAAATAAGCGGCTTTAACTGGTGTAAATTTCCGAATAGTTTAACAACTGCATTTCAAATAACAGACGAAACTGGGTCAGTGATTAAAAAACAAGATTTTTGAATGACCAAAAATTTTTGTACCAAAAGAGGTGAGCGTAATTTTTTTAAACTTTGCTAACGTACCTGAGAATGTTATGTACCTTTCTCAAAGAGTGTTAAAACTTATCTAAGACACTTCGAAGCTCTCAAAGCGTTCGTTCATAAGTACTTGTATCAGCGTGTAAAAGAAAACAATTTTATTGCAAATTTTTTAGGTTAAAGAAGAAAAGGGAAACTACTAAAATGTCTATCAAGGATACTAAATTATCTCTCGAGGAAAAAAAGAGCATTTATTCGAACTTTCAACTAATTCCTTAAATTAGAACTTTAAAAGGAAACATTACTTTCTAGTCAGATGTCGGTGAGAATGTTTGTTAGGAAAGGTTTTCAAATATCGGATGCTGTTTACTAGTACTGAACTAATGGAGAAAGCTTATAATTCTTACATTTTGATTGAAATGTTACTGCCAAAAGCTTATTGCAAGTCTCACTTTAAGACTGTAGCTTACATCTCTTGAGCCTTATTGCAAGAAACTTTGAATTTCAAACCAAAGGCTTCTCTAACAATGTTTCTACTGTTTTCACCAATAATGTTTCCACTTATCTGTGGAATAATTAATGTAGATATTTTACTGTTCTCACCAATAATGTTTCACTTATCTGTGGAATAATTAATGTAGATATTTTACTGTTCTCACCAATGTTTCTATTGTTCTCATCAATAATGTTTCCACTTATCTGTGGAATAATTAATGTAGATATTTTAAGCAATATAAATAACTCTGTAGAAAAAAGAACGCGCCGAAGAACCAAATATTAAAGAAATTAATAATAAGTAAGAGCAATCGGCGTTACTTTGAGTTATTCAGCAGGGCTCAAAGATCTTGCAGCTTCACCCATACTCATTCATTCAATCATACAACTGCAAATCAGTAGCATTATTGAAGAAATAAATCTATACTGCCACCTCAAGGAAGGCCGTTCCTAGGTCATTGGCTGCTCGCGTACTTTCGTAGAATTGCAGCCTCTAGGATTCGCTGCTTGTGTACTTTCCTAGTATCGCCGCCCCCAAAATTAAAAAAAAAATAGTTCAACAATTAATAAAATTTTTATTTCATATTCACTAAGTACTTACGTGTGACAAATTGTATCAAAAGTACTTACAATGAATTTAATGAATTTAAAATATTTAGTCGTGGTATCGCGAGAGTCCGGCCGCCCCTGATTTTCGCCGCTCGCGCACTTTTACGCGTTGCATCCCCGCTAGGAACGACCCTGACCTCAAGTCACTAACATTATTGATTGTTAATATACTAATTCGACTATTCGCTCTCTTTATTACAATGTTCTATTGATTACTAACAGTTTCTTTCACATTCCTTAATATATAAATATTGTTATTAAATAAATAATGCTTTAGCTATTTGATCATAAGTATTTAACTTGAAGCTATATTATGAATAGTATAAAATTAAATTTATAGTCTACATTTTCGTTGTTACAATTTTCGTTTCTCAACTCATTTCCTCCTTTCTAGTATTTTATGTTAAAATAGGTGTTAAGCAAAAGTATCACTATGTAAAAAGCAGCAATTATTTTAAACCTGGGAAAGATGAGCCAGGGTAATAAAATTCTGCATTCTCGAACCTCTTCTTAAACTATTAACCAGGGTTCCCTCTCATTTTACTTATACCTACAGAAACAAAATCCTACTCGCGAACTAAAGTTTAGCTTTAAAATATAAAATTAGGCCTTGGCAGACATCATAATATACATAGATCAGCTGTTTTCAACCTGTGGTAGTCGTACCCGTGCCTGACTCGTGATGACATGGTCAGAAGTGTGCGAAAACGTAATCAGTAATGGCGAAAATAACAAAATGTTACAATTAATGCTGATGAAAATCAAAATATTCAGAAAATTTAAATTTTACTTTAACTAGGAAGAAAATCAGTTTGACTAATTCCGATGGGAATGTTACTATTCGAAATCTGTTTAAAAGCAATGTAGCTAGTCCCATCCACACTTATCCTATTACTCGAAAAATGAAAATATATGTTTATGACTAACGATTTCGAAAATAAAGGCTGCATTAGGACTTTTACGAACACGATATATAGGTATACCTCATCAATAAAATCTAAACGCGATTAAGCTGAAAACCACCGTTCTTGGTGACTAGGGAATTTATTTTTCACGCTCCAGTGCATCTGGAAACTCCTTGACATTTAAAGTCAATCTACAAAATTCAGTTTATTATCGGTTTAGTATCCCTGTGATAGAAGATCTTCAGTCATATGCTAACTAGTTATATGAGTCTCTTAACGACATTTTATAGCCTTAAACGTAGATTGTAATTTCTAACTCTGAATAAAAGATCCTTAGTATCATTTTACTGATAATTAAATGGCCTTTAAATAAGTAGTAAGCATTAACGAATTTCACAATTCAAATATTACTAAGAAATATTTTAAGTAGTAAAATCATTTAATGTTAGCTTGAATATTTTTCTGTGTTTAATGATATGCGCTGGGGAGTTGGTAACAAAAGGAGAGAGAAAAGTGTTCTAAAATTGCTGACTCTTCTATTCATGCATCTTGTTTCCTAAGTAACATATCTGGCAAACATTTTATATAGGGTGTAATAAGTGCCTACTCTCTAAGCTGAAGCGTAATTCAAATATAACGAGAATAAACTAAACAAGGGTTTTCAAACTCAAAGAAATTAGAAGTAAAAATGATAAATGATTACATACAGAAAACTTTTTGTTGTAGTGTCAGATTTTCTCGAACAGAATCTGGTGCAAAGATAAACCGGGAAAAACAAGCAGTTGCAAGCAGTGCAAAACCATGTTGTGAGGAAGGGGGCTTTAAAAGGCTCTAACGTCGATTCTTTTTCTAAGGGTAATACTTGTTTAGATGTAGATCTTGTTTCTGTCATGGTCAAAACTGCCGTCGAAGGCGTAGAAAAGGAGCCCCTTTCGCTTACAGAGGAACAGTTGCAATTTACCGAGGGTTTCAGATGAAGGACATAGGCCCACTTGAGCAAATGAGTTACGCCGATCCATGTGCCACACATGACAACTGTAAGGAAAAAGCCAATGGCCGTCCTCTTCGCTCTTCCAGTACAACAATGTATTGGCTTTCTTGATGTGCGGTCCCCTCGGTTAATTTGAGGTTCGTCTAAATTAAAAGAGAGAAAGCAAAGATGCTTAGTAAAAGCCAGCAGCTTTAAGTCACATAATAAGCAAAGTAATCAAACCTTGTAACACAATCAATTAGTAAGAATATGTAAAATCATAAATATACTATAAAACCAAAATGCAACGAAATTCTCAAAAACCGAAAGACAGAGAGCAAATAAAACAAATCTTTCGTATAATTTCAATATAAATTGACTACTAAATGTGTTAGAGTATTATCTGTTATCACAGCTTCAAAAAAATATTCATTTCTACACATTCTTCAAACAAGTAACACTTCTCAGTAAGTTTCTAAATAACTGCGTCTAAGCTGTATCTTCCTAATAATAGCATGAAGAACATACGGGAGAAAAATAACAATCAGTGTAAAAATCGCAAGTACAATTAAATAAATCATTTCTGAATTTATATTTGCTGCTGCCAGTTTAATGAAAGTAAAAAGAATATCTCGATTTCACAAGCAACTTTTTTATGCATATGATGTCTTAAATAACGAAATGTAAATGTAATTAATATACTTTCTTAAAGCAAGATATCAATAAAATAATGATAAGCCTCCATCAAATATTAATATTTTGCCTTCTAGTCTGTCTTACACCAATAAAAAAAATATTACTTACCAGTAATATTGCAACACTGCTGAGCATAAAATTGCTACACCATGAAAGAAAATAGTTAGCTGAATCATGATTATTTTACGAATAGATTATCATAATAAAATGAAATAATTAAAATTTTCACGCAATTTTGAGTTACAGAACATGCAAAAATCAATACTCCGAACATCCTCCTCTGGCAAGAATAGTACTTGCTATACGGGTAATCATGGAGTCCAACGGACTCTGGATGGTATTCGTTGGTACTGCAGTCCATGCGGCTTCAGTTCGATGCCAGATTTGAAAACGCCGTACTGGCTAGTGGGTGCTGTCGTGCCAGTCTTTCGTCAGCTTGAAGTAACCCTTCGGGGAATGATATATATATATATATATATTAGTAGCTATCTGTGGTTGCTTTTATAATAAAGAATTGCTTATATTGGTTGGCTTACTTGATTTGGGTCTTTTGTTAAGTATACATTCCAGAAAGTTGCCAGTACCTTGACGTGGTAGGGGCTTTCACTCTGAGGGCTAAACGTGGCTGTAAATTCTTTTTCTCTGATGTGAACCCTAGGTTGCCGGAGAGCTCACCGCAAGCCGGACAAAGAGTTAAAAAGTATTTATAGCATAATGAAAGGATTTGCTTCAAGTCAGAGAGGCTCAAATCTCGAAAGACCTCCTCATGAAAGTTAATAAATGCATAGCACAAATGAATGCATTCCTGAAAACGGAAAGCATACAAAAAGACTGAAATGAAGGGATCTACCACACGTTTTCTTATATGTTTAATTTACTGACGGAACAATGCCTAGCTTTGGCTGCAGAAGAAAGCAACGCAGAACTCAAGACAGCTTTGGATAAAAAAAGGGATATCATAGCCCAGAAGAAGAAAAACCCTCATGCTCAAAATATTTTGAAGCAAGGGCAATAAAAATCGAAATTTGAGAACAGTTCTAGTGTATCTGACAGACGACAATAAGACTTGAGAGGAAAGCAAACAGAAATGCAGATCATAGTCCCACCAGACTAAAAGTGGAATCAGAAGTGTAAAGAAGATAAAATAAGGGTGGTGCACTGAAAGAGGTGTCAAAGAAAGAGGATATAGCCCTCCTGTAACAAACAGTCTGAAAGAGCAAATACATGGTACTGTGCAAAGCACTCTTTTTCTTTATCCAACCTGATCTGCCTGTAAAAGCGGTGCGGAGGAGATATTTGCCGTCTCAGATACTGATAGTTCGAAGCCGCTGAGATCCCATATATTGCTCTGTGTTACCCTGCTGGACCACTCGATTGAAAATCCTCAAAACAAGCATTAGGTCTCGACTACTGTGAATAACCATTCACAGTACAATAATCCTCAGCAACAGTAGACAACAATTCTCTCGCGATCGAATTCTGAGACGTGTTGGCACGAGCTTCTTACTCAAAATACAATGCTACCTCCAACACATAAAAAATAGATAAAAGCGATTTCCGAAATAAAAATCGGTATTTCAATCTGCCTCTTCTTCGATGTGTCATTATTCTTGCCTGCAATTTGCGCAACTATGCAGTACTTGCACGTTACAGATGGCAGTACTACATTTGCCCACTTCCACCGCAGTTTTGATTGAGAACATCCCGGGTGACTAGATCGATGGGTCTCACACTCTTTGTATATCACCAGCTTCTAGAGAAGGTTTCTCGAGAAGTACAGATTTTAAGCATTCTTACACCCTTTGCATCAAAGACATATTCTTAATATTTCTAATCTTTAACACTATATATATTTTATATGTGGTACGAAGTTTCACTTCTGCGCTATCTCTCGCATTTATGATATTAATAAAAGTGTGCGAAGTTGGGAATTTTTAATATCTATCTACCTATATATATATATATATGGGATATATATATGGGTATATATATATATATATGGGATATATATATGGGTATATATATATATATATGGGGTTTAATATCTATCTACCTATATATATATATATGTGTGTGTAACCTCACAGCTTTCAAGCGTGTAGTCACGGCAAGACAGATTGTTTAAAATAGTAAATAGCAACAGAAAGCTAAAATTTGTTTAATAGTTTTAGAAAAAAACAGTAGCTGATATAAAACTATAGAAGTTAACATGCTTAAATGTATGGCCTCCTGGTTATAAATTGGCATCCCAACGCGGGCCACGAATGATTTTTCCATTTAAAGATTAACCTGTGTTTCAGAATTCAAGAGTTGATTCGGCCCAAGGGGAAATCCAACCCCTAATACTATGGTGTTGGATGAATCGTCCTGATTCAATAAAGTTTGAAGAGAATAATCCTGATTCAATGAAGTTTGAAGAAAATGATCACGATTCAATGAAGTTTGAAGAGATTCAGCCTGATTCTATACTACTGAGTGAAACACATCGATTCAATCATAGACAAATGTGTGTGTTTCTGTACGGTTTTTGAAGCTGAATTATCGACTTCTTTAAAACCGGAATCCTCATCGAGGAAAAAATTAGAGACTGAAGAGTTTCATTGCGAAGTTCTGTCTACAGAACAAATTTTTTAACATATGGTTGATTGTATACGCGAAGTAAATACTGTAGTACAGATCTCTTCTACTATTACAGGAATTCTTCTGAATCATTTTAAGTGTTCAAGTGAGACAAAGAGAAGTTGTTTGCCGTGAAAGATATTATCATGGTGACTAAGATGCGCTTTTTTAAAGAAGCCTACATAATTAACCCATAAAGAAGCGCCCAAACTCGTCATCAAAAGATTCCCGGTTTGCTCCTCGTAGTGAAGAATGTAAAAGATATTCCTCCTCTTCGAGACGTCGTACAAGCCACAGCGATAATTCACAACTTCAAGGGGTTTTCAAGCGCGTAGTCAAGGCAAGAGAGAATTTTTTTAAATGATAAATGGCAACAGAAAGCTAATGTTTTAAAAATATTTTTTAGAAAAAACAGTAACTGACATAAAACAATATAAGCTGACAACTCTTAAATGTATGGCCCTCTGGTTATCTCTCTCTCTACATATATATATATATATATATATATGTTCTGAAATTGTGTAATTTTTTTCCCTCTCAAGAATAGTAAGATTTTCTTTTTTCCCCCTCAGAACAGAGCCTGAACGGTCGGGTTGCAAATGCAGACGCTTTTCTCTCGCGATATGAATTATACAGTTTTTTCTTTAACGTAACTGAATAGAGTAAACTAGTTTTGGCTCAATATCGATTCACCTTTCTTTAACTATTCTTCGACGTTTACTGCCCTTGAAGATATGACCTTACTGGTTGAACCACACCCGTTGCATTTATGGTTTGTAGGACACAACTAATTTTATAATGAGTAAATCTTCACCTTTGAGAGTGATGACATTAAGCATTATTTTTGTTAGTCATACAGATCATAATTAGTGACAGACACTATTACGTTAAGGTGTAGACTAGTAGATCAGACATCCAGAATGAATTACTTGAGCACTTAATATAATGATTCTCTGTATTAAAAAACACATCTGGCATAAGTGATAGGAAGTGAGCAGTCATTTAGAAAAGTTCAACTATGTATACTACACATTATTATTGAACTCAAAATTGTAACTTTACCGCAATGTGTACAGTTAAGCAAACATTAAATTACATTAAAAAATGATATCGTAACTAGCTAATTCAAAAGTAATCTAAAGAGTGAAGTTATAAACATCTAGAACCGAATTTAATTACATACTGAAAAGTAGAAAATTTAAAGATTCGATACATTAATTACGTTTAAAATAATAAGTTTATAAGTTATTTTCTTCCTCCTTCCAGCATGCCTTTGTGGTGTAACGGCAGCATACTCGGCGCGTATTAGAGAGGCCCAGGTTCGAGTCCCGGCGAGGGCATTGTACGTTCTTCATGTTTCATGCTTCAAAATAACCTAATGACTCTACAGTGGCGCCCGAACTAAAAGGTGGTGGGCAATAATTCGTCACCACCAGGATTCGGCGATTGGGTCCTCTAATTCCCTGTCGCCCTTTAAAAGGGGGAGTATGTAAAGTATTTTCTCCCTCCTTCCAGCATGCCATCGGGGTGTAACGGTAGCACACTCTGCGCGTATTTGAGAGGTCCAGTTTCGATCCCCGGCGAGGACACTGAACATTTTTCGCATCTCCTGCTTCAAAAATAACCTAATAACTCTACGAGGTTAAAGGGAGTTTAAGGTAGTTGTAAAATATCATATGACTGAGACACTACTCACAAAATTACGAAACAAGCTAAATACTGTGATATCCTATGGAAATGATTGTTGAGATCAAAACTAATTTTTTATTCTTTTACAAGAAAATGTAAAACCTTAAGTTCGTGTTTTGTAGAATTTTGGTACTCAGCTGTTGAGTATTCACAAGTCAAA